TTAGATACAATTTATTCGTTAGGGATTTGGACATAAACTGAGTTTCCAATTTCTTCCAGATTTCTCCTGGAGACGACAGACTCATTATGTGATACATAAGCTCGTTTTCCAAACATAACCGTATGATTCCTGCTGCTTGCTGTTGCAATTCTTCCCAATCATCGTCCTTGATCGATTCTAGCTTTTGAGGTCATAGAACCTTCAAAATCCCTTTCTGCGCCAACAAATTCTTAACCCTCGTTTACCATAATCCAAAATTACCATGACCGTTAAACTTCACCACTTCGAATTTTGCACCTGACATAGCCATCTCAAACCTTGCTCTTGATAACAATTGTTGAGAAAACAGACTAATTAACTCACGAAATCAACAAGCAATAAAGCAAATAAAGAACACAATATTTAACGAGTTTCGGCAATGTACCTATGTCCTTGGGAGCAATGAGCGGCTGTTCTCTTTATTATTCGCAATAATCCAAAATTAAGTTATAATTACGGTACATAATAGTAACCCCTGTACAATTACTTTGAATCAGGTTCGTGTATCATCGACGAGGGATGGAATTCTCTTCAACAGTCCGAAACATCTCTCTCATTGAAGAACTCAATCACTCAAACTACAGTTCATTGTGTAATAAAGTTGAGGAGTTATATTTTAATCTTTCTGTGTAATAAAGTTGAGGAGTTATAATTTAATCTTTGTGGTTGATTGATATTATAGTGACAATGTGCGGACCGGTGCTACAGCGTCTCGTTGGTTATTCAAATGTATGCCAGTGCAAGTGGCGAATTTGTCTTGCAATGTATGCGACGCGTTCCTTGGCCAGAAATTTGTTAGTTCTTTTAAATTTGTTTCTTTTGTGCGACTTTGTTTAGTTTTTTGTACTTTGAATAAGATTAACACACACACGCGTGTTGAACTTGATGTTTTCAGATTGTGCACGGTAAAGGTGGAAGCTATTTGTTTCGTCTCTAAGTTGTTCTTCCCCACCTTGAAACAGTGGAGATTATATTTGGAAATAAAAGATGTTAGAAAATTTGGTTTTGAATGCTGGACCGGTTGCTGTATTGGATTGGAACCCAGTTGCTTTCTGCTGTTACGAATAAGCCGCCATTCGGCAAGAACACAATTTTCTTGTGGTTTACAGTTTAGTACTTTTTTTACTTTGTAAGGGTTCTTTGCATGGTTTTCAGAACCGGATCGGTTCATTGGTTTAACCGGTCGAACCGGTCCGATCGGTCGGAAGAACCGGACGACGTCATAATTATTTAAAAAATTAAATAAAAATACCAAAAATATTTAATAAAAAATAAATTTTTATATCACAAGTCATATTCAAAGCAAGTCATAACATATATAAGTTAAAACCCATAAAATCAAGTGAAACAAAATGATTCAAATTAACTAAAACATAATATTTAAGGTAAAACATATTAAATAATAAATATAATTATATAACTATAATCAAAAAATAAAATTGGGGCTAAAAAATCATAACAAAATGATATTGTTTGGTTTATTTTTTTTTTTAAACAATCCACATGGCTAAGAAACATAGAAGAGCATCCCAAAAGTCTAAAGAATAAAAATATGAGAACAAAACAATCACACATAGCTAAGAAACATAGAAGAGCATCCCAACTAACTTCTATAAATAATAGAGGTAATTTAGCATTCAAAATCATGGAGCCTTTTGGTGAGCATTGAGTGAACTATTCTTTCACTTCAATCAAGCTCGAATTTTAGGCTTCAATTGAGCTTATTTTTTTTTAGTTCAAGCCTTTTTGAGTTCAAGTTTCAATATTATATTTCGAGTTCGAGTTGAACTTAATAATTTTTAGCTCCTGAGTTTGAGTCGAGTTGAGCTTACTTTTAAAGTTTTAAAGTTCGAGTTGAGCTCAACAATACTCGAGTTCGACTTGGCTCGTTTAACAAACGACGTCGTTTGGTTTAATTTAAAAAAACAAAAAACAAAATTGGCAGTTTTTCCGGTTTTCAGCCGGTCTGGTTCGAACGGTTCAGTGATTCTGGCCAGTTCACTAATAACGGTTCAACCGGTGTAAATTGAACCGGACTAGGCAACGGTTCCCGATTGAACCGGCCGATCCAGTCCGGTTTTCAAAACACTGGTTCTTAGATGTGCAGAGAGACCAATCCCAGTGAGCATCTTTGATGTGCTCTTAAACACATGATGTTTCTTTAGTATATGATATCTCATTTTTTTTTTTTCGTGTTTCTTTCTTTTTTAAATTAGTTGTGAGGGTCTGTGAGTCGAAATTTATTACTAAGATTTAAGACTTTAATTTATTTCTCGCTTTATGTTAATTTCATTAAAAATATTTAACAAAATTAGATGGATATAAAAGGTAAATAAAAGATAAATGAGAAATAAATGAAAGTTTGTAACAGATTTATGAAATATTGTATTTATTTATTTTTATAAGTTTGGGGGCAATTAAAACAATAAATAATAACGGGTGAACCCGAAAGAAAATAGAGAATAGGGAGGGATTATGACATTTGTCATTTTTAAGAAAGTACAATGTCAAAATTAGCCTTCAAAATTTATTAAAAATTCATTTTAGCTCTTATTTTTTTCAAAATATTTTGACCTAAAATTTTATTTTGGGACATAAAAGCCCTTTTACATAGAAATTATTAGTTAACACATGATTAACTCTTTAAATAAAAGTATTTTTATTCTAAAATAAAACGTTAAGAACTAAAATACAAAAAAAAAGAATAAGAGTCAAAATGAATACAGTTGACGACACCGAGGCTTTCCCGGTGGAAATCAGACTCCACCAGGGGTCGACCCTTAGCCCTTACATCTTCGCCTTGATTATGGACGACGTCTATTGCGCGACACCAGACGGTGTACCATGGTGTATGCTTTTCGCTGACGACATTGTCCTAGTTGCTGAAACAAAATCTGAGTTGAATAGTAGACTGGCTAGCTGGAAGACTGCTTTGGAAGAAAAAGGTCTAAGGATCAATATTGAAAAGACAGAGTATTTATGTTCAAACTTCAATGGGAACCAAAACGATGAAGATGTAGATGTATAGAAGACACGTTCTCCCTCAAAGGATTGTTTCAAGTACCTAGGATCTATGATACATAAAGATGGGGGTGTAGATGATGACGTTACACCGTATAAAGGCGGGATGACTAAAGTGAAGGGCCGCTACTGGAGTTTTGTGTGACAAGATCTCCCCTCAAAGGATTGTTTCAAGTACCTAGGATCTATGATACATAAAGATGGGGGTGTAGATGATGACGTTACACCGTATAAAGGCGGGAGACTAAAGTGAAGGGCCGCTACGGAGTTTTGTGTGACAGAAGTGCCTCTAAAACTTAAGGGAAAATTTTATAGAATGGCAATAAGACCACGCGTTGTATGGATCAGAATGTTGGGCAATCAAGAAGGATCACGTAAGGAGGAGAGGCCGCAGAATGAGAATGCTTCGATGGACATGTGGTAGGACTCTGGGATATGACAACAAAACTCTGCTATTAGGATGTCCTTGGGGGTGTGTCTGTTTCTGAAAAATGAGGGAGGGAAGACTACGGTGGTTTGAGCATGTCCTTAGTCGACTACCGTCGGATGCGGTCAGGAGGGTAGAGTCGATTACAGTCGACGGTGCCAAGGAGAGGCGACCAAGGCGGAAGTGGGAAGACTGCTTGAGATCTGATTTGATGGATTTAGCCCTTACCAAGGACATGACCTCTGATAGGAAAGTATGGAGACTTAAGACTAGGTAGTCGAGTAGTGTGGGTCACATCTATAGGTGTATCATCTCTGTCTTCTTTAATGCCTTTGTAGTAATTCCCATGACTTCTACTTTTTATAGTTTTTTGTTATTGGTATTTATGAAGGCTTAGAACTGGGCTTGCTATCGTTGACTTATGTGTATCATTCTCTTCATGTTTCATCCTTTAAATTTAGTCGGGTCTTACGTTTCTGTCTATATGCAGAGAATTTTTTCGCAGGGATTTATTTGCAGGGATTACTTCCCATTACAGACACACATATGATATTAATGACTACATATGAATACTGTTCAACTATGTATTTATGTATTTATTTATACATGCATTGCATTTTATCTATATTTTTAATTTTCGAACTGCCGAAGGTCTTCCACGGAAGCTACTCTCAACCTGACGTTGGGGGCAGCCTACTACCCTACCTCCCCCTTACCCCATTGCATATGAGAATTGGGTTTTGTTGTTGTTGTTGTTGTTAGAGATCTTTTTACCCTAAAATAGAGCATTAAAGTCAAAATACTTCAAAAAAATAATGGTAAATTATATAGATGGTCACTATTGTTTGAATATATTTTCATTTTTCTCATTGAAGTTTCAAAAGTTACAAAATGGTTATTAACGTTATCGATTTATAACAAATTAGTCACTCACCGTTAACAACCGTTATTAGGGTGACGAAATACTGACATGGCATGTTATATTAGTAGCCGCTATTGCAGGAAAAAAGCTTTAGCGGCGTTTGTAAATAAATAACACCGCAAAAGGTTAGGATATTTTGGCGGCGTGTAAACGCCGCAATAAGTTAGGGCTTTTAACGGTATTTCTTCTACAAACGCCACAACAGGTTCAGACAGTTAATGGCATTTTTTTAAAGAATCGCCGCAATATGTTAGGTCATTTTTTGGTATAAAAGTCGCAAAAGTTTAGGACATATAACAGCGTTTTAACGCAAAAAAAACCGGGAATGTGTATTCCTTTGGTCGCGGTTTTCATCCTTAAACACCACTAATCGATACTAGTTTACAAATGTTAATTTGTACTCTTTATTGCCCAAATTTAACATATCCTGTAACAATATACAATAACAACCTTTATGCGACTCGAATTAAGTAAGAAATACTTAACAAAAACAAACCGAATTTCTCAAACATTCAAGTAATGTAGTTCAACATTTAAAAGAAATGTAATGTAGTTCAAAATTCAAGTAATAGCGGATTTTGCTGTACATATCTTGAAGTTGATTTTGGAAGTCTATATTTTCCTTGATATGTTGTTCCTCTCGCTTCTGCTTCGACTTTCTTGTCCTCAAACGTAAGAGTTGCAAGATCATTCCAAAACTTAATGAACGCATATATTGTGCAGCTCATACAACTAGCCAATTCTGAAATAGCTCGAGTTAAAAAGTGAAAACTGAGAAGTGCGATTACCCCATAACATCATTGCAAGAGCAACAATCTTATAACTCAGCTTCTCACCACCCTAAAAAAGTGGAAATCCTATTAGTAATTATAGAAAAAGGGAGCAAATAAATGCAACAATTTAGTATCTTAATAAAGCAAAAGAAAATCTAAGCATAAACTGAAAAAAAAAAGAGTTCTTAAATGTAAGACAAAAGCGTAAGTGTTCTTAAATAGTCTTGCATTACTAATTGAAGGACGGGTTTAGGAAGCATTGTTCACTGAAAGAAGCTGACACTTCTAAATATTGTGAAACTGCTAGGTTTCATACTTCCATTCAATATCTTGGAAATTCTATCACCTGGTCCAAGATTAACAACCAATCTATGTAAGTTGAAAAAACTAAAAGATTGCTAAGTTCCATACTTTCATTCAATATCTTGGAAACTCTAACACTTCTAAAAAATATATATAAGAAACCCAATACGAAAAAAAATAAAAAATTCACTATAAACCCTGCTTTTTGTCAAGAAGGATGAAACAATTACCAGTTCACTGTTTTTGTTGTGAAAAAGGGAAGCAAAGGCGGCATAAAGAGATGCAGTATACATGTTTCCCACTTGCTTCTGTATCAAGGTTGTTGGTTGCACCTTGGCATCGTAGAGGGCCTTAGAAACTTGGTTGGGATACCTGCAAATGCATTGATAATGAATGGTATCAATAGATAGAGCCATTACAAATGTTTACCAACTGATAAAGAAAGAAGAGTTTCCCCAATAGAGGACATTCTTTAGCTTACCATCCAATCCATAGTGATTTCAAATAGCTGAAGGCTCATTCTGTTGCGTTCAACCTAATCTCCCCGCCTCTTTTTGTATTTCTTGGGTAGAATTTATCAAGGCAAACCGAAGGAAAAGGTGCCCAATAAAGCTTAATCAACGTTGGAAGACTCTTAATGGAGGTATTGTACTTAAATAGAGGGAACTAGAGCATGCTGAAATTCTAGAAAGAACTAGATCCAATGGTCATAAAAAAGAAAAATACATTATACATACGCACATTCTCCTCCTCGAAAGGCCAAACAGTAGATCTCCATAATAGCACAATGACCCATAGAAATAAAAAGATGAAGAAACTAATATGATATAACTAAAGTAAAAAAAATAAAATAAAAGAACCAATTAATCCAACTGAAAACTATCTTCTTCCATTAAGGGTCTTAGTTAATGCACTTCTTTATCCAAATGCTTAGCCTAGGGCATAAAGAATAACTCAAGTTATTTTCTCACAAATTTGGCATTCAAACTCAGTGTATCTTCAAGATTCATCTAGCATTTTAAACAAGAATGTGGACTATTACAGATCATTCATTCAACTTTTGGTCTCAATCCACCGTTTTATTCACGGTAAACCTGTTAAGAAAAGAAGACACACTTGCACAACAGAAACGTGGTTTTGGTTATCATATCGAGTTTGCATACAGGGAAAAATGTCCCCCACTTAGTCAGCCTTGACTCCACACAGCTTGAATGAAAATCTTTTTTCCTATTGCCAATGATAACAGATTCATTTCTAAGTAGAATGGTTGAAATATATGTGCATTACTGCAAGAACTACAAAGCATGCCTAGAAATTGAAAGAATCCAAAACCAATTCTAGCACTTTACCAAACCACTTAAAATAGCCAAACAAAAAGCATATAATAAACACAAAAAAAGCCTAAGCAGCGAAGAAAAATCGATCATCAACAACAATGAGAACAAATACAGAAACAACTTCTTCGTTGGATCAAATAAGTAAAAAGGCAGATCAGACAGATACATCAACGAAATCAATACCGTTTAAAGTTCCAAGATTCGTGCTTCAAGAACAGAACAACTAAAGCCATATATAAAGAAACATCCTATGATTCTGTTGGGATCTGAACAGAATTTTTTGCTAAAAAACATGTATACATGATTTAAATCCCTATCATTACTCTGAAACCTTGAGATCACGCAAATGATTTAATGCCTATCAGAACTGAGTGGTTTGGGGGAGACCCAGAGATTAAAGGATATGTTTTTCTGACCGTTTAAGCCATTGTAAATATGAAAATATTCTGTAGACCCACTTTTCTGTCCATCCGTATATATATTACATATTATATATATTATTTTTATAAATTAATACATTTTATTGTATTTTCAGGCCCAAAGCCCAAGTACAAATAAACCCAACAACAACAAGCAGCAGCATGTATTTGGAACCTGACCCGAGACCCAGCAACCTGAGACTCGGTTCGGACCCGGACCGGCCCAAAGTGTAACCCGAATCAACTAGGGTTTGAAACCCTAGCTTCTCACCATTTCCTCAGAGTCACATCTCCCTTCGAAGATTCCTCACGCCTCACGCAACAATCGGCCGTTTTCCTCGGTCAACCACCCGCTCTTCTCGGCCATCGGTGACGTGTACTCGTGGGACACAAAACAAACAAACAGATAAGTGTTTTAGTCCAAGAGAAACACTAAAATCGAACCCAAAAATAGAGTTTTGTAGCACTATAAATAAATGTAAAAAACATACAAAAAGAACACAAGATTACAGAGGAAATACAAAAAAAAACTAGAGAAATCACTGTAAACATTCGAAAGGAGAAACACAATAAAAAAAGTATTTTTTTACCTTGCTCGTCGTTCTTTGCTTGCACGTAGCTTTGATTTTTTTCTTTTTTCCCTGGTTCGAATGGCCGATGAATATGGGGGAGGGTTTCGAAATTTTCAATCTCAGATCTAGCCCTCCCCGAGGCTAGTTTTAAAAAAAGGTTTGGATTTTTGAGATGGGGGTAGAAAGATCTTTCGAAAACTTAAAGAAAAAAAATTTTCGACGCCGATCAACGGCGGCCGACAAGGCGGCAACCGGTCGAAATCTGGGTTCGTATGAACCCAGCGACCGTGTTCTTCATTTGTTGAAAAACACTTGAGAGGATTTGTGGGTTTTGGTTTTTGATCGAGTGGGGGAGAGGAAAAATGGTTTGATGTTTATGGGTGTTGGTATTTATATCAAACCCAAGTGACCCGTTGACCCGACCCACAGACCCTAAGATCCACATGTTTTGCCGAAAAAAGGATAATTATGGTTTCAGTTCCCCCTATTTTCTAAACGTGTATTTTGACCCTTAAATTAGATTTTTAGCCCCGATTCTTTTTAAATTTTGCTATCTATTTTATTTTTCTTTTAATTTGGTCCTTTGCTATTATTATTACATATATATATTCATTTCTTTCTTTTTTTGCAATTAATTTTATTTATTTATTTTATTTCTTTAACCTAATATATATATATATATATATATTATTTTTTTGTTTTTATTTTGGTTTTTGTTTTGGTTTTGTTTTTATTTTTGTTTTTTTTTTTTATTTTTATTATTATTATTAGGTGGGTAGTGATGGATTAGGTGGTTTTCTTTTTATTATTTTTTCTTTTTTCTCCTTTTTTTTTATTTTTTACCTAACATTTATATATATATATATATTATTTTTTCCTTTTCTGTTTCTGTTTTTTTATTATTATTTTCTTTTTTTTCTTTGTTTCTATTCTTTTTTATTTCTTTTATTTGATTTGATTTGTTTCCTTAATTTAGTTAACTTATTTGGTTTTTACTTTTTTATTTTGTATTTATTTTCTTTTTTATTTCGAGACTTTTTTTATAGTTATTGTCTTTTTGATTCGCATTTTACTTTATCTAACATTTTTCTAACTTTTCTAAGGGTATGATTTTAAATCCATTAAAGGTAAGTAATCAGATCAAACTTTTATCTTTCAATTTAAATTTCAATTTTCTTAATTAAGACAATTGGAAATTAATTAGTACCGAAAGAGCAGTTCAAGGGTGTTAATCATTCCTTGACTATAACCGACTCCTGAATCCGACATATTTCTAGTAAGACATAGATCAGGTAAGATGTGTCTGATCAACCTAAATAATGTTTTTAAATGATCGGTGGCGACTCTAACCCATTTTTTCAAGTCGAAGCCCCATTTCGGGCCCTCCTGAAAGATGGTCGCGACAGCTTAGTGACTCTGCTGGAGACAGGTAAGTGAGTTAGGCTAAGGTTAATTTCCAGTTGTCTTTTTAAGTGAAAATGGTAAGTTTAAATTTTAATGTAATTTTTTTATCCTTATTACTTACTTTTGATTGTCTTTTCAAATAAATAGTTGTACTGACGATTTGTTTCAATGGTTTCAGCTTATCAAACTTTTTTCCATCTAAGGCTTTATACCCGAGCTCCAAACCCATTTTTTAAGTAGGGGTGAAAGCGACGCCTTCGTGAGAATTTATTCTTCGTATGGGCCTAACAAGTAACATTCGGGATTCATATACCTTATGTCTTCGTGTGAATTTATTCTCCGTATGGGCATAAGGGAATGTATCGTCTCGAATTTAACTTAGTCCACATAAGCTTGTAATGGGCTTAGGACTAAGGGTCTGGCAAGCCCAAGGGGCATCGGCAAGGGCAACTCGGGTACCTTCTTTAAAACCTAAACCAGGAGACTAGAGGGAATTAGAGCATACCCCGAAACCTCATTTCAAAACCTAGGATGTTCTTTTACTCATGCAGTTTGTCTTTTTTATTTTTGCTTTCATCATTTATATTTTTTTATCTTACTAACGTTTTTTCATGTTTGCCTTTTTAGCATTTGCATCATAAAAGATATCATTGATCTATAAAAAGGTGTTAGTTACACACAAATAATTTGCATTAATGGACAAAGGGGTTGTAATGCAAGAGGTAAAAAACGTCGAGGTACGACTATGGTCCGAAAAGACTAAAAAAGAACAGGGAGACAGTCTTCAAGGAAGCTATGTGTCAGAACTGGTTAGCTCCTCTGTCAGCCTAAACAGAATGATGTTCAAGAGCTACGGAACATTTGGGAGAATTGGAAGAGTGGCCGGAAACGGAAGTTCAGCCAGCGGTATGGTGACATCGCACTCTTACTTTACGTCAAGACCGATGAGCCCTTAATCAGAGCTTTGGTTTAATTCTGGAATCCAGGTAAAACTATTTCACCTTTGACCAGGAGGACATACTGCCCATAATCGAAGAGTATACCACATTGTTGCATTGTGAAGGCATCAGATTGGAGCGGGTTTACATCAAGAACATCAAAAGTCAACTTTCAAAAATGGGTTGGCAAAAGTTGCAGGAGTAGACGAGAAATGAGTAACTGACCGAACTCAACACAGAAGTAGCGGGGAAGGATTCCTTGGACTGACATCAAGCAACTGATGAAGAATCTCCCTGATGAATGGAAGGCAATAGATCTTTTCGCACTGGGCCTTTATGGTTTGGTTATTTCCCGAAGACTTTATGGTACATCGATGCAGCTGTGGTGGAACTGTTTGAATAACTCTCGAGGCTAGTAAATCCAGCACCGATAATCTTCGCTGAGACCTTTTGCTCTCTCAACCACTGCAGGAAGACTAGAGGAAGATTCATAGGGTGTGCTCAGCTTCTCCAAGTTTAGATCCACAGTCATTTCTGGAATACTAACGGGATTGTTTAACACAGATTCAATAACTTATTCACCTTTGGAAGAATTCCTTACTCTGAAATGGCATGATTGTGCCTCAAAAGAAAAGTGGATGAAATTATTCACACATCTTCAGGACATGGATATTATCTGGATAGCTCCTTGTTGACCTACAGTGATATTCTCTTCAGATATGGGGATTCAGACATTATGACTTTACTTGGATTATGGGGAGGAGTTGGATATTCTCTACTTTTGGCACTTCGACAGTTTGAAGCACGTTAGTTTGTCCCAACAACATACAGACTATCTGGATCAGAATTTGTATACCATGGTGACAACTACAAGAAGATGGTTAAAGAAGTAGCTGACTCATAGAAGAAAGTGTTACGAATGGATGCCGTGGCTACCAAGGACATGCTTACTCTGGACTATTTGGAGTGGCGGAGGTTAAGGAAAAATGACACCAACCCAGTGCCAGATCATGAGGACACTCAGACTATGGAGGAACATCTTAAGCTTATTCTCTAAGAGCTGGAGATAGCAAGGGAAGAATTTGAAGCTGTGAAGAATAAACTGAAACAGAGGGTAAGGGAGCTTGATGTCGAAAGATACCAGTGAAAACTAGATGCTGATACTCAGAAGGATCGGGAAGATAAGATTGAGAAGGAACATAATAAAGTCCGTTTTGAGCTCGATGACTTGAGGAAAGGGTACCAAGAACAAGTCCAGAGCAACTCCAATCTGAAAAGGACTTCTGAGTACTGAAAAGGCGAAGCCATCAGCCTGAAAAGAAAGTTTAAGGGGCATGATGAAAGTGAAACCCTGAAAGAATAGATAAAGACCACTCAGAGGCGTTTGATAGACAACCAACTTCAGAACAAGAGTTTGAGAATCCAGGTAGCTGATTTAGAGAAGTCTATTCAGAAATAGCAAAAACGGGATGACAAAACCATAGCTGAGTTAGAAGACATTGTGAACGGATTCAAGAAACAAGCAAGCGAGCTTCAGATAGTGCCATTAATCGAGGGTTACAGTGGCGTTTTTGTTGGGAACAAGCTCAACAAAGGGTGAAGGCTAGAGATGCAGTCATCCATGATTTCCTGAGTAAGTACAAAAGGCAGCTCGTCATTTACATGGCTTAGCAAGGAAGCCGGAGTTGTTCGACAAGGCATTCAACCAGTGACAGATGAAGGAAGAAGACTTGTTAACCTATTAGAAGCTATTCGGGTCTAGAGGATTTAGTCCGGATGTACCTTTGATATATTTTTGTCTCTTAAAAGATAAAACACTTTTGTTTAAATAAGGATTATTTATAATAACAGACACATTTATGGATCAATGCCTCTAAATCACATATATCATGCATTTCATACTTTGCATTTTATTTTCCATGTTTATTTTTCTATTTTCTATGTTTTTACATTATTAACTAACATAAAATGTCTCATCAGAAGAAAGAACAAACGCCGAGTTTACCACCACAAGCTCTAGACATGCATCATCCTTACAACACCCGCACAAATAAAAGACAATGGAAGCCAAAA